ATAGGGGGAGGAGAGAGAAATGAGATGTACAAAAGGAAGATGAAGTGCTGTGTTCATGCACCAAGTACCCCTGAAGAATGTGATGATCTTGTACTAAAAACATGTATAAAAAAGAAGGAAAGGAGTTTAAAAATTAAGAAATGTCAAACCAAAACAAAACAGAAAGCCAGGTGGGTGGCATATGCCTGTAATCCCAGCATGAGGGAAACTGAGAAAGGAAGATTCCTCTGAGTTTAAGGTCAGCTTGGGCTACACACTGAGTTCAAGTCCAGCCTGAACTACCCAGCAAGACCCTGTCTCAAAAATCCAAACCAAACTAAAGCAAAACAAAACAAAAATTAAGAAACATCATGTATATGTACCAACTGGTCATGATGAATGTGGTCATTATGTACTAAAAACCTGTACCAATTTAAAAAATAAGCACACATACACACACAGAGAAATGCGTGCTCAGAGAGAAATGGGATGTGTTAGAGTTTCATACTGGAAACATTTATGCCACTATTGAAAGGGTGGAAAAGGTGCCCTCACCTCAGAAAGGTGTCTGCCCATGTTACCAGTATAGGAGTTTTCTTTCTAAATAGGTAATTTAAACATTCTTTGGGTTTGTTCAACCTGCTCCTTTATCTTGGGATCTGGCTCCTGTTCCTTATTTCTTCAATTAAGTCAATTTGTGGAGTTTTAATATTTCTAAAAAAATTTTGAGTGTGAGGTGTCTAGTAGGGGCGGAGTCTAAATTTAACCAAAGGGATCTGACATGCATCACCTTGGGTAACTTCTATTGACTTTGAAGTTGCAGCCTTTTTTAAAAAGTATAATATTTTAGTCATGATTTCCTTTTCTCCTTTTTACTGGTCTTTTCTTTTTTCTATACTACCTCATGATCAGCAAGACTATTTTTTTCATATGAAAGTACAGATGGCAAATATTTCAGGCTTTGAGGATCACATCTACCTTTGTCAGACATTTGAGTTTTAGAAAAAAACATTTAAATAAAAACAAAAGAACAAAACTCTGTTACATTATGTGCTGCACCAAAACAGGATGCTGGCCAGCTTGGAGTATAAGTCTAGTTGCCCAATGCCCATCTGCAGACATTTCATGTGAGTGACCAAAAAAACAAAAACAACAACAACCCAGGACCCCTACCTCACAAAGTATACACAAAAATATTTTGAGATGGATCATATACCTAAATGTTTTTACAACACAATGAAGTCTCTTAAATAAAACATAGGGAAATAACATATTAGTGATATTGAATGTTTTTTTAACCTAGATGCAAAATGAATTAAATTTATAAGAAAAATGAGACCTAACAACTTTTGAAAAGATAGCATAAGAGCTAGAAAAGGAAAGTGTCAGACTAAGAAAATTTATCTATCTATGTATATGTCTAGAAAAATATTTTAGAAGGCTATTTATATAGAACACTATATGCAAATACAGAATACAAATATATGGAAAGACAAAAACATAATGAAATTAGAGAAAAGTCTCAAATAGGCACTAGAGAAAAAAGTAAATACAAATGACTAATGACATATGAAAGGTGGTCCGCATCAGGAGTCAGAGAAATGCAAATAAAGACCACAGTGAGATACCCCTACACATAAACCAGATTGGTAAAATTAAAAAGATTGGTAATACCAGGCATGAGTGGGGATGTAGAGTAACTAGAACTCTCATACAACTGACGAATTCATACATGGTACAAGTATTTATGCTCATTATTTATCAAAAGAATAGATATGAAAGTTAGGGTACTCTTTTGTCAGTGTCTACATAGAAATAACAATGTAAACACTGAATATTGGTTTAATCCACAGAAGGTGATATAAATATTTGAGGAGGATGAGGAGAATGTGTGTGTCCAGGCATGATTATTTATCTTCATGTTTCATAGGGAGGGGTCAATAAGCTTTATTTCAAAGAGGAAAGCAGGGTGATATTTGTTATATGTGTGCTATTTAGAAATTAGAAGTAACTACCAGAAGAAAGAGTTAAAGAATCTGACAGTGCTTACCTGTGAGGGTCAGTTACTGCAGAAGGGGATGTTTTGGCTAGAATACTATTTTCTACCATAAGACTTGTTATATTATTTGGTTTCTTAAAACTTTGTTTAGATGTTAACTGTATAGAAAAATGAAATTAAAGAAAGTGTACAAAAGGAAATTGTGGTATAGTCATGCAATGAAAAAACAACAAGGAAGTGAAAATTTCTTATATACTTGCAATATCAAAACAGATAAATTTCAGAAACACTATTTTGAGCTAATGGAGCCACACACAAAAGGGTATATACTGGATTATTCTTTTATTGTAAAGATCAATTGAGGAAAGTGTGATGGGAGAAAAGCAGGTATACGTCTACAGGAAAGTGACATGGTAGGACTTCTAGTGCCATCAATAGTTAATCAATCTAATCTAATTATTTAATCTTATTCTAAGTAGATAATTATGTAGGTATAAACATATATAAATTCACAAAACTGCACCCTTAAGATTAATATCCTTTACTTGTATCTCAATACAAAAGTTTTCATCATTAAACAAAAACAAATTCAGGAATTTGAAAGAAGCAAAGCAAAGAGGTAAGAAAATAGAAAATATGTGAGTAGGAAGCTAAGATGAATAAATAAAATGCATGTCCTGAGGTGTCATTACTTAGCACTAATTTACAAAGTTATACCCTTTACAATTATGTCGCCTTTCTTGTAAATCTATGGCTAGCTCTCGTTAGCACATAAATTTGCGTTAAAAAGCAAGCTTCACATACCCTTTCCAGTTTCATCAAAGATCTAATACTGAATTTCTGGATGGTAATAATTTTCAGCTATCCAGATGAGAACAGGAACAGTGCTACATGTCATAATTTCAAAAATTTAAAAATATTTATATTCCTAATACTTTATTCTAGGTTGTGACTAACGTTATTTGACTTTCTGGCCTTTGAAAATACATATAATGGTACTGACTAGAATATATGGAATTTGGAACTGAGTTTGGCTCAATGTTGCTAAAACTCTTACACACTGTGATGCTGCCTCGCTTCCAGCTACTGAAAGTCCATCACAGCTTTGAAGTGGTAAACTGAATTCATAATTTGGGACACATGTTTGACAGTGCTTCTGAAGGTGTCAGGGCTGATTAAGGAGGCAAAGAGTCAAGTCTTAAAAACAAATGCTGGTGATAATCATCTCTTTCTTAAAGCTGATATTGTTGTGACAATTTCTGAAGCTGAGTGGATCTGCCCTTTTTCATAAGGCAGAACACAGAGATCCACACACAACCATTTGCCTTGAGAATATCAGTGTAGATTGCACCCTAGGACAGCTTCCATTTCAGGCCTAGTAGGGAGCAAATGTGAGCCAAAGTGTGGCAGCTGCTGTTGTGAAGTCTCTTAATTTCCTGGGCTTGTCTGCAACACCTAGTTGTGATCATGTAACTCCCCTCTGTGTGCTCCTGTAACCTTTACAATACTCTCTGTGCACTCCATTAATTATTGTGCTCCATCATGTACTGATTCACTCCAGACTCCAGCCTTGATCCAGGAGTCATAGTCATTCTGACCTATCTAAATTCTCAAATCATCTGTATAGTTAGGAAGGAAGGAAGGAGGGAAGGAAGGAAGGAAGGAAGGAAGGAAGGAAGGAAGGAAGGGAAGGAAAGAAGGAAGGAAGGAAAGAAGGAAGGAGAAAAATTCTAATTCCTGCTGATTTTACTTTCTGAAGATGTTTCCAATACTTTCTCTATTTTCCCTGCCTCAGTTAGGTTATCCACCAGAATCTACTAGTTAGTCTCTCTGCTTCTTGTCTCTAGCCTCTTAAATCCATCTCCTCATATCAAATGGGACAATATAATCAAAACATAAATTTCCCATCTTGCTCGCCTTGCAGCTCAAGGCCTTGATGTTACCTTCACCATTACTCTATCTCTGTATCAATGCCATTATCTCCTGTTACGGGTTGTGTCCACATGTTCCCCCAAAGCTTCCTGTGGTCATAGTTGGGGCTTTTTTGGAGGTGGTTGGATGTAGTGTGGTGACACTGGAATTGATTCATGGTGCAATGTTAGGCTCAGTAGCAGTAGGATTAAGGATGTGAGTGCTACCAGCCCTAGCCCTAAGTAGTCTAGATAAGATAAAAGGGGCAGAAAGACACTGTTAAGGTCCCTTGTTGCTTTTGCTATTTTCTGCCCGCCATGAACTGTTGCCCCTCTACCATGTGCCACCCTGCTTTGGAGCCAGCTGATTATGGACTGAAACCTTTACAAACTAGGAGTTAAGTAAACCTTTCTCCCTTACTCCCTTAACTCTCTCTAGGTGTTGGGTATTTTGTCTCAGCAATGAGAAAAAATATTAAGACATCTCCTCTTTCAGCCTTGTAGTTTAGCAAATGCCCTCAATCTTATGAGTTAGAACAGTTTCATTTCTTCAGTTTACTACTTCATGCTCTTTATGTTTCTAGTTTTACATTTTTATTGTTTTCCTCTAATGAAATCTCCTTTCTCATTTCTTAATCTGGTGAATTTATGTGTCTCTTATGGTCATTCTTTCATGGTCTCTTCCTCAGCCATGCAAATAAGTGAGATGCACTGTGCTAGTGTCTGCAACCCCCTGTGCATATCCCCACAGCTCCACCTGTCAGTCCTGTGTTACCTTGCCAGATATCTGGATACAGAACCATCTGTTACCTACCTTTGGTCTCCTGGTACATAGTAACGGATTGGTTGTGTAGTACATAGACACGTAACCGAGCCTTGTGTGCTGTTTTCAGATGTAACATTTCAAAGTCACTTACATATGTTAAGTTACACTGCCAATATGCATGCATGCACTCATATTAATGTAACATATTTAATTCTTCTATGTAATTATTATTTAGAAAATATTTAGGTTCTTAATAATTATAGTCTGTATCCCAGTATTTTTATAGACAGGATATAAAAGTACCAAAGTGTAATACTCAACAGTTTCACTTTTTATTTTTCTGCAGATTGCTGCCAATTCCTGGGGAAAGTCATGGGGAGAGAATGGCTATTTTAGGATTCTTCGAGGAGTAAATGAATCTGACATTGAAAAGTTGATTATTGCAGCTTGGGGCCAACTGACAAGTTCAGATGAACCATAACATATTAAAGTTTTGTAAGGTCATGTGTTCAACCCCTTAAATTGAAATTTAGCAACATGAGGGTCTCCATGACAGTGGAAACTTTGTCTCTTCACTCTGTGTGTATAAATGTATCTGTTTTACTCAAGGCTTGTACTAACATAATAAAGAGCAGCAGAGTGGCCTAATGACTAAATTTCCAAGTTTGACTTTTTTCTCCTCTCAGGATAGGGTCCACTTTTCCATTAATTGTTCTGAAACAACAACAGCATCTTTCTTAAAAGTGTATATGGCATTTATAGAAATGATATATCCTCTCTCTTGGGCCAAGGAGGGATTCAGACAACAAAAAGTAAGTTGGAAATTCAATCATGATCCATCTGTGTGTATGTGGGGATTTTTTATTTGTTTGTTTGTTCTTGAGGCAAAATCTTACTTTGTAGTCCAGGCTGATCTTAAACTCTCTATGTAGCTCAAGCTGGTCTCAAACTCACAATCCTCCTACCTCTGCTTTCTGCGTGAAATTACAGGCTTTCATCACCACACCCAATTCATAATATACTGTCTTTACAATTTTATTTTTCAACCATATATTGCTCTCTTGATTCAAATTTTGCTTATGTTTTGCTGAAAACAGTGAACATAGATGATTAGCTGTTCCTATAATATGTTAACATTTTCTTTTAACATTCTGTTAATATTTTCTTTCATTGCCTAAATTTATCTTTTAATACAGTCATAAGATAAGCAAGTCTTCCTAGGAAATAAGTGTTCTTCATGGTACAATGTAATGGTCTATGTGGTGAAGATATTAAGTAAAGAGGGGTATAGAGGCTAACAGCAGATGTACAGTCTGGCAGACATAAAACCTTACTTTGGGGAGGCAATTCACTGAGTTTAAAGTCTATTAAAATTAGCTGCAAAACTTTATTTAGAAAGATAACATATATTTTCCAAACAGCAACAACATGATACCATGGGTAAGAAAGAATAAATACACTTTGATCAAAGCTATTTCACAGTTCCCGCTTCAAACTCTAAAATGTAAGCTAAATTGGCACTAATTTACATTTAATTTTTATTTCAGTTCTCCATAGTCAGAGAAACAAAAATAGCATCATAATAATGGCTGAGAAAGGATATAATCTTCTAATAATTCACTGGCATCTAAATGGCAGATTAGTAAATGCAGAAGCCAAGCTAGTCAGTAAGTGAACATAGCCCATTAGAATTACAGCAGTGGGGCAGCCACAGCCTGAATTTCTGGGCACTCTATCATCTTAATTTTCACTGTGGGATATTTTATGTTGTTTGTCCGAAGGTGCCCTGATTAGATAAGCTAGACATGGTGCAAATGTGAGGAAGCAGAGCACAAAGAAGTGACTGCTGCCTTGGTTTTCTGCATTAATCACTGGAGTTTTATCAGAGAGGTATCTGTTCTGTTGTTGTTCCCCAGGAAATATATGTGAGGGTGATTCACCTTGTCAATATTTGCTGACACTACCCAGGAGCTGAGAAATAATTTATTTTTTTCTTTTTTCTTCTAGAAGCACCCCCTAAAACAAAGACAAAGAAGCAGCCCCTAAGACATAATTTGCTTGGGTCTTGAAGGGAACAGGAAGAAGAAAATAGCCATGTCCACTACAGGTGACAAGTTCTCATCCCCTGGGGACTGTTAATACACTCTTCAGATCTGTACACCTCAGGGAAGAAGAGTTCCTGGGCTGGGGGTGCTCTGGGGTTCATGAATTCCCCTAACTTCTGGCCTGGAAAAAAAGGGTGAAGAAATAAGTCCCAGTGTCAATTAAAAGCCCATAAGCAAAGCATAGCAGGTTCTTGTAGTTGGCTGTCAGGCTGATGTCCACTTAGATGTAAGGAAAGGTAGGATAGGCAGTGCATGGATAGTGGGGAAATTAAAATACTTTGCAATTTTATTTATTTATTTATTTATTTATTTATTTATTTATTTATTGGTACCGGGGATCAAACTCAGGCCCTTGCGCTTACGCAGCAGGCGGTGAAACCACTGATCTAAATCCCTGGCCCTGCAATCATTTTTAGATGCTAAAGACGGCTGAAATAAAAAGTTATTATGCACTAAAATGCCAGATGACTAATATTCCTTTTAAAAACACTTGGATTAAGTGAATCCACCTCCTATGTTATGGAAATTGACAAAAGGTATTGATGGGAATTAATTTTCACACTGTGGTTTGTGTGTTTAGATTCTTCCTGTTTTAAACTTTTCTGCCTTTGTAATGATTCCAAATGAGAGGGAAATTGAATCCAGAGAAGAAGAAGAAAGAAAGAAAATACCATTATAATAAACCTTGTAGGAAAGCGCAAGGTGAATTTCCCTAGCAATTGTGGAACAGGAACTAATGAGGAGACCAAGGCTAATTAGGACAGAAGTCTGGGTTTTCTTGGCCTGCAGGTGGGCCCTGGTCACCACATCTTGCACTGAGCAATGGGAAAGATCACACATTTGGTGCAAGTCATTGTAGAGTGCCTACTTTTGGTGCCTATTATTGTTTTGTCTTAAGAGTTTAGGAGAGAAACATTGCCAATAAATATAATTTTATTCAGATATGAAAACATGTCTTAGATTGGATAATACTGTGAAGACTAAGAATTTATTTTCTTTCTGATCATCCATAAATATGTGCCATATATTTGGGGTTTTTTGGGGAAGCATCCATTTAAACTTGTTGCTGTGCATAGTTTTTTTGGAAAAAGATGCACCAGTCACAATTAAAGTTTGGCCACTCCCCTGAGTAGAATCAGGTATCAGATTCAGATATTATTAGGAAGTATCTTGGAAGTAACCCATATGTCCATCAACATATGAATGGATAAAGAACATGTGGCATTTACACATGAGTACTACTCTGCCATAAATAAAGATAAACTTGGGTCCTTTCTAGGAAAATTCATGCACCTTGAGACCATAATGTTAAGTGAAATGGATCAAACACACAAGCTTAAATACTGTATAAGATCTCATTTGTATAAGATCTCATTTTACTCAACATTCCAAAGGCTTCCTTGGCTCTTTTAAACGTATAATTAGATATTTTCTTAAAATTCATATTAGTTAAGATTCAACAGCAGGGAGTGACCGCCCCCTGACTGGAAGGGCACCATGGACACAATGGTGGCTCCTGGACACAGGAACTGGCATCACCCTTGAAAAAGCAGTAAGCATGACCTGCTGTCTTGTGGGAGCCAGAGTTATGACAAGACACTGGCTGCCAAATCTGTCATCAGAGACTAAGAGGAAAGGGGAGAGACATGGAGGCTTCTCCATACCTCACACTTTCTATCATCAACAGCTGTGTCATCAACAGCTCTCCTTGCCTGACCTATGAATGACAAGGGATTAAGAGGTTAGGAAATTAAACTGCTAGGGTGAGCCCACAACCTTTACCAGATGCAGAGTAGAATAAGACAAAGGTGGGAATAAATCAGAGGGTAAATACAGAAAACACAGATATTGAATTACAAAAAGACATAATTTTTAAGTAGATGATTTAGTTCATGAACTTAGTCTCTTGATCAATACATATGTCTTAAGCAGTGTAATGCATATTATTGCATGTCTTTGTTCTCTTGACCTATGGGGGACATATTAGAAGCTGTACAAAGAAAGAACTTTGTCCAAATCTCTTCACTGTAGTTTTTAGGGAATCTAAGTAATATACCACCATCATTGCCTGTCAGAAAGACTGTGATGACCTCATCTCAGGACATTTATTTTTCTTTGGATAGAGGTTGAGTACATTTTCAAAAGAAAAGAAATGGAGGTAAAGAAAGTGAAATCTCAGAAACTACTGTTGCTGAAATGTTTCAACGGAGGAAAGTATCAACCTTTCAGGTGGCACTGTATCAAAAAAGGGACTGCTGAAGACCACACAGACATTTCCTGCCAGAGAAGCCAGTGGAGAAAGAAAAATATAAGTCTAAAACTGTCAATAATGGGATGATTTAACGAAGGGAGAAGCTTCTCCATCTTCAGCTATGAATGTTGTTATGCATTATTTTGAAACCATGCCTGATAGAAATGTTTACAAAGTTATTGACAAGTAAATCTAGTAAAGTAAGATTTTTTTCCTCAGAGATAGCATCAGCAAGAAATCCATTAGTTATACAAAATGGCAACTGTTGTGCCCAGATCACGAAGTCCCCAAAGACCATCAAGGAGCCGATTCCGATGTAAACACACGAGGGTCGTTTATTCAAGCTCAAGCAGGGGCACTCAATCGTCACCAATGCAGCGGATCAGAATTGAGAGCCCCGAATTCCAAATCAGCAGGGTTTTTATTGTGGCTACTGCAAGGTTTGGGGATGTTTCATTAGCAGTTACATGATTGGTTGATATTTAGCAAGCAAAGGGGGTTGAGGGGTGGCTGCATGTAGAGTTTATGGGAAAAAGGAACAATCAGCACATTGACAGAATGTTCTATAGATAATGGGCCCGGGAGCATCTGTTTTCTGGGCAGACAGAGGATTGAGTTAGGAGCTGTGTCTTTTTATCTGTTGTCCTACAGCAAGGACATTTTATCATTATTTTATGGGCACAAAGGAGACTAGGGGAATAGTTGACTTCAGTGAAGTGGAATTTATGTCAAGGCCACTTCACTGTCTTATTTTAAGATGGAGTCAAACTTTAAAATGGAGTTAGTTAGGTCTCACAGCAACGATTGCTCCCTCCATTTACCTCCCCTCTCTGTATCCTCTGTCCTCTGTAAAGCAAGTGGCTTAGTTATAACCCAGGATTATTCCATAAAAGATATGTCTTCTGAGATAATGAGAGGAAAAATTGCATTAAATTTAAGATATATCTTGTATTATATTCTCTGGTGGAAAGATCTGTGGTTCACAGTAAGTCTGCTGAGGAATATAGCAGAAAATTTTAGCCTCAGCTGGGTATTTGTCCTCACTCATTTCAAACATGTATCCCTCTGGAAGGTCACATGTTCAGTTCAACACAATGGTTCTACACAGGGGCTCAGACTTTTCTTCTTAAAAGTTCTGTTAAATTACACATTGTGTAGTCAATATTTATGATATGGCTCTAATATGTTAGCCACTGTGCTAGGCAGTAGGGATATAGCAGCCAATTCCCAAGGCAGACAGTCTCTGTCCTGTATTAGCTCACTAATTACTCTTTTTGTAAAACATATTTTGGAAGATTAC